CCCTTGGCATTGTTATAAAAAGCCCTTTTGATGAGACAGAAGGGGCTGGTGGATTTTGATTCAGGTCCTCCCGCAGCTATCCCGAGTGTCTGTCTCATCTCCGCTATCTCTCTATACAAATTCCTCTCTCCTCATAGGAACCCTGTGAAAGGTGGGAGCTGGCCTCCCACAAACAACCACTTATTCACAGCCCTTTGACCAGTTATGATTTTCTGCATTAACCATTTTCAACTGTAAGCAAGAAGCCTCTGACCATGGTTGAGAGCAGAAAAGATTTATGGGCATAGACATTTAGAAGCCCATTTGGCAAGACCACTTAGCAAAATACTAACAGTAGGTTCTCTTGCCCTTGGGGCTTGTAACTACCCAAGCTTTGACCAGGTTTACATATCAGGCATGAATTCCTTCTATCAAACTAACCTCAAATCCTATCGGCAAACAATTGGTTACCTCCGTAACAATTATGCCCTTATCGCACTGTGGGTCCACATTACCCGGCAGACTGTAGCATGGTCCAGGACTAAGACCACTGACATCTTTTCTCTCTCACTGGCCTGCATTGCACCTTCTAGTTCTATGAAAACTAGCCAATGGGGAGGAAGTTTCCCGATCAGCTACAGATTGATTTCTCTTATGTCCTGCAACAAAATGTGTGGTGCCTTCAGTGCTGGGGTCTTATCACCCAGTTATGGTAGAAAACTAAGGCAATACCTGTGTGATTCTAGAAACTCCTGGGGCTCCCTGACCAATACTCATAGAAGTATCCCCATGGCACTGAGCTTTTAATAATCTGTGTCTTCTGGGAGTAGTATTGTCATCACCCCTCAATGCAGGGTACCTCCATTCAAAATCCTTTAAAAATTATGTGTTGTAATTAGCTTACAAATTAATGAGTCTTCATAAAGTTTTTCCACACATCCTTAGTTTTGGTTAACCCACCCTTTCTCCCATCTCCCCCATTATCACCCCTCTTAAACTTTTAACCCCTAGTATTCCCACCTCTTCTTTTATATTACATGTTTTCTATTATTCCTTCCTATTGTGTTTAATAGAGTTACAAGATAGGTTTCCCAGAACTGTGTAAAATTGGGTGTAATGGAGCACACGTATAATTCCAGGATTTGGGAGACTGAGGGATAAAGCTTTGATCATCCTTGGCTACACAGACAGCTTAGTGTCAGCCTGGGCTACATAAGACTGTTTCAAAATACAATTTTGTTTAGAAAAAAATATGGACAGCTTACTAGTTGGTCTTACAACATCTTTCTCTTCTCTCAAAATTATGTGTGTCTGTGAGTATGTATGCTGGTGTCCCTGAAGTCCAGAAGAGGGTGCGGGACGACCCCTTGTAGCTAGAGTTATAGGTGACTGTGAGCCACCTGATGTGGGTGCTGGGAACTGAACTAGGGTCCTATGGAAGGGCAGCAGGCATTCTTAACCCCAGGCACATCTCTAGCCTCCCCCTGAAGCCTCTTGCTTTGGTCAGTCAATATCTGTGAGCTATACACTGTGAAGTTTCCCTTTACCCTCGTAGGGAACAGTCTGAGACTTCAGTTCCCAAAGTGGATAGTGTAGGGCCGCCAACCTGCCTGGTCTAAGAAATTTTACCATCTTCAGCAGCATAAGACTCAGAGCAGTGAGAACACTGGGAAAGTTCAGGCCTTGGGGTCTCTGTTCCAGGGACTTTGGAAAACTGATACGAGTCTGGTCAATAATTTTTAGTTCAAATCAAGTGTTAAATTCCTTAAACACCACCCCTGATTTGGCCAGCACTGGCCTCTCCACTCCAGGCCAAGAGGAGACCTCCCCCAGAAGCTCTGAGCTGGTTGATTATGCTCATATGCCCGATAAACTGTTTCCGTTGGAATGCAGAAGACCTGTATTGTTCAATGGTTTGGACCACAGAAGACTGAAACCTCTAGTTTGCATCCTCTGTGCACTCCAATGGGACTCATATGGGGCTGAGCAATCTACTGGAGTAGAAGATTAAGCACATGTGACTTGGGTAGGGATTTCAGGTTAGTCATCTGGCTGCTCCACACGTCTTTACATCTCTCATAAAACCCAAGGTTGGCCAGAGACAAAGCCCAGTGTGTGTTTAATAAGAGTCCATACTGCTCTTGCAGAGGACCTGGGATTGGTACCAAGCATCCATACCAGGCAGCTCACAATCCCCGTTAACTCCAGTTTTGGGGAATAGCGTGCCCTCTTCTGGCCTCCACAGACACCCGCACTCATGTGCATAGACATATACACACTTAAAAATAAATCTTTAAGAAATCCCTAAGGCCATGAGGTGGTGGTGCACGCCTCTAACCCCGGCACTAGGAAAGCAGAGACAAATGGTGAAAGAGAACAGACTTCAACCAAGCTGTCCTCACCTCCACATGTGTGCCCATCACACCCACAAAATACAACACAAATTGTAAAAACATTTGTATTAAAATGGAAGGTCTTGACTCCGTCAGTGACCAGCTGTGACCACACGGGGCAGGGCAACGGCTCGGAGTAAAGGTGCTTGTCACCAAGTCTGAGTACCTGAGTTAAGCTCCAGGATCCACAAGGTGGAAGGAAATGACTCCTTAAAGTTGTCCTCTGATGGCCACATGCATACACATGCACACACAAAGAATATACATGTAAAAAAGAGTTGAGGTCTCCTACACATCACTTTGGCCCTTTTGAGAAGCAGCCCACTTTGGATGTCTATTGAAACATCCTCAGAAGCTCATCTTATGTGTGTGCATGTGTAGACCAGAGGGTATCAGGCATCCTCTCTCATTTCCTCCTTATTCTCTTGACGTATCTCTTACTGAACTCGGGGCTAAGCTTGTACTCAGCAAGCCCCAACAACGCTATCTCTATCCCCAAAGGCTTGGGGTTGTAGGTGTGTATGTGGGTGTTACAGATTTGAACTCAGGTCCACAGCAGGGGCTTATCTGCTGAGACACTTACACGCAAGCCCCAGCCCAAGCTTACATCTTCATCAGTATTAAGAATTCTTCAATGCAAGCTGCTGAAGGAGAAGAGTGATGTCAGTCAGATTCCTGGGGCTGCATCACTGGCTTTGAGTAGCTGGCTTCAGTAGTTCATGCAATGGTTCTTCCCGAGTCCGTCACTTGATCCACAGGTTTCAGAAAGGAATTTCTCCTTAAGTAGGCCAGGTAGGCAGGCCATCATTGTAATTCTGTGTAAATCCACCACTGTTGGAAAGTGATTGGGGACCTGGGGAGATAGCTCAGTGCTTGCTTGCTCAAGTTTGAGAACCTGGCTTCAGATCCTCAGCTCTCCCATAAGAGGCTGAAGGCTTAGCTAACTTAACGTGCCCATGGCCCTGGCCTCTATCCCCAGTACCAGTAGGAGGGGAGGAAGGGAAAAAGGAACTGACTAAGGCCCATTTTTTGGAGAGAGGTTCAATGTTGCTCGGAGTGATGTCACAGTTCTAAGCTCTGGCAATCTGCCTCTGCCTACTGAGGCTGGAACCTCAGGGGGCCACCAGTGCACTCTACTCTAATTCTCAATTCTGGAAGCAGTTAAGCTCTTAAAATGGAATGAATAGTGCTCATCAAAAAGCAAACACCAATATACATTTAAAGTACCTGTAATTACAGCTCCAGGGGACCTGACACCCTCTTCTGGCCTCTGTGAGCAACTACACAAGTGTGTGTGTGTGTGTGTGTGTGTGTGTGTGTGTGTGTGTGTGTGTGTGTGTGTGTGTGTGTGTTAGAAATAAAGTGGGATATGGGATGACACGGAGGACACTGCCAGAGCCATGTGACTCCAATCAGCATGAATGTGTCAACTCTGAGACAAAGGGGAGTAGCTGCCATATTTACTCTCACAGAGGCCAGTTTGGGAAAGCAATGGTTCCGAGGGTAAGGGAGAAAGGCAGGCCTGTGCAACCTCAGCTGCGAAGAAATGGCAGCGAGGGGAGGTTAAGTCCCATCACCACTCGGGACAGCAGTAGTGACTCCCTCGGCTGCCTTTACTAGGAACCACTGTGGTGTCAATGCAGCCAGTGCACAGCCCTGGGCCCCTCCCCAGCAAGGGGCAGGACTGAGCACAAGGCGTGTCTTTCTGTTCCTTCTGGTGCCGACTTCACACAGATTAGCACCTCTAGCTCTGAGGCCTCTGTCCTGAGATGCAGAGCCCCTGTACTGTGTGCCAAAAGGGGAACACTGTCAAGTCTCCATAAGCCGTTTTAGCAATGTGAAAAACATTTCAATGTCTAAAAAGCCTTCAGGTCTGCCTGACCAAAATTGCTTTGTGTCAACATCAGAAATTACATACACAAGAATAAATCAAATCGACTTCTTGCTCAAAGTCCAGGTCATACCATTTTCTTTGTATTCATAAAAACGAGTCTTTCACAAACATAACCTGTTTTGAAGATCATGAGAGAATGCTTCGGAAAAATAAAAACAAAGGCCAGGGGTGGAAAAGTAGCCCAGACGGTGGAGTGCTTGCCTAGCACGCCAAAGACGCAGCTCTAGCTCCACCGAGGACCAGGAGCTCAAGGCCATCATAAAAGACAGTGCCGGGCCCACCTCAGTTTCCTCCATGATGGCACATCAAGTTTTTAGATAAGGAGCCGGGCGGTGGTGGCGCACGCCTTTAATCCCAGCACTTGGGAGGCAGAGCCAGGCAGATCTTAGTGAGTTCGAGGCCAGCCTGGTCTACAGAGCGAGATCCAGGACAGGCACAAAGCTACACAGAGAAACCCTGTCTCAAAAAACAAAAAACAAAAAACAAAAAAATAAAAAAAAAAGTTTTTAGGCAAGAACAAAGCAGATTCTACTTGAGACACAAGGCACAACGGTCAGGACAGCATCTGTAGAGAACACCATGGCTCTTGGAGGCAACGCTGACACCTGGAACCTGTCTGCCAGAGACTACTGCAACAATTCTCAGTAATTGTTCCACTGGGAAACCACTAAGCCAAAAAAGAAGTTTTAAAGTTTAAGAACAGATTTTAAGTATATATTTGAACCACACGAGAAAACAAGAAGGCAGAACATAATAATAAACATCATGGTAACAACTTATGGATGGATCTGACATGAACATGCACTTATATCTAATAAAATGTAATATAGGTTTTATATATCTATGTATCTATATACACACATACAAATATATCTATATACATATCTACCCATCCATCCATCCATGTATATATATGACAAGTGTGCATTCTTTCTAAAATGAAGCACTAAAAACATGGAGAAGCCGGGTGGTGGTGGTGCATGCTTTTAATCTCACCACTATGGAGGGAGAGGGAGAGGCAGAGGCAGGTGGATTTCTGAGTTTGAGGACAGCATGTTTTACAGAGTTAGGAGGGAGAGGGAGAGGCAGAGGCAGGTGGATTTCTGAGTTTGAGGACAGCATGTTTTACAGAGTTAAGTTCCAGCCAGGACTACACAGAGAAACCCTGTCTCAAAAAACAAACAAAATAATAACAAACACCCTGGAGAATACTTTCTCAAAGTACAGACAACAATGGAGAGAGGACATCCATAGTCCATAGAAATACATGCTTGCCAAGGTAAAATTCTTGACTCTCAGATGCACAAACACTCTGAAGTATCATAGATACTACCTCCCACTTTTGAGTTTCAACACCAACTGGTATAGATTCTAAATTATGTAATTAATTTCTGTTCTTTTTCAATCTCTCTACTGTCTTCTCTAAGGCACATGTTCATTTAATATGAACACTTAAAAGCAGTAACATCACACATTCCAGTTGCTTCCCCATGGCCTTTTTTCTTAACAGTTGTCTCTGTATTTAGGAAACAGTTAAGATACTGCAGAGCACTGGTTGCTCTGAAACCCCAGTCAATGCCTTCCTGTCTTGATCCCAAGGCACTCAAAAGAAGTCCTAATTGAAAAGAACACAAACATAAAAAGCTGATACATTTTAATTAAGATTATAAAAATTGGTTTATTGTAAAAGAAATTCAAGAATAACCAGTTAAATTCTTATCCGCATGCTACCCACTACAGCCAGGAAGCACTAACCACTTTTACATCAGGGAGGACACAAGGAAGACTGCATCGAGGCCGTGATTCAGGGAAGGGAGCTCAGGTCCCCCGCAGTCAGCACAAGGGTTTGATAAGGTCAGAGCTGTCAGGTACCGAGGGCTGCTGGACACTGAGGTATTACAGGCAAACGTTCCCGAGGGGAAGACAGCACATCTCACTTGGTGGGTGAGCTTAAGCGGTTCAAAGTTTAGGAACAACTTCTTTACTGACAGCGAGATGCGAGCTCAGTCTTGATTGAAGAGAAAGAAGCTATGAAAGCTTTGCTATCACGGCCTCACTACCTTCACCAGCCCACGCCCACCTTCCCACCCTCCCCCACACTAAAGCTAGTTTGCCCAGAGGGTGCGGTCTGACTCTGTGGCTTACTGGCAAATGGTAGGCACTCATCAGTGCCCTATCATCTGCACACTCACCACACACTGTTGTCTGCCATCCCGCTGCTCAGTTTTGAATTAGAGTAGAATTCCATTTCTGTTCTAAAGTCAATGCATCCTCCTGGTGGCCGTTTCCCCAGACCTAATTCAAGGGTGAGTCTTCAGCTAGTTTCTTAGTAAAAGCCTTAGAGTCGATGGCTACAAATGACTAGGAATCATCATGTATAATACACGGATTCTGACTATGAATCATCATATATAGTACACTGATTGCATTTTTTTTTGAGCACTCCAAGTACTGAATAAAACTTTTCTACTTCCATTCCTGCACCCCACTAAAACAAAGGGCCAATAGATTTCTACCTTCCTAAGCTGAGGCTTTTCATAGCAGCTTTAGCCAGGGAAAGAATTTGTTCATTAAAAACCCTTGAAAATAAGGGATTCTTCTAAAAGCATCCAAAAACCCTTAAATGACAGCGGTGCTAGCTGATGCCACTACAACTCATAACCAACTACTACTTCATAGCTTATACTGAAGAGTTAATTCATGCTTATTTGTTCCTTTAAAAAATACTCTTTGGAAACCATCGTTACTCCTGGAGACACATACTCTAGCAATCTCTCTTCTTGTAAAAATAAAGGCATAATCATGCTATCTTTAGCTCTTTGCTAAGTTCAACTACCCCACACATTCACTAGTCTGACCACTTTACCAGCCGACTCATGACCTCACAGCATTCTACACACTCCCCCAGGGTCCATTCAGCAGGAAAGTGTGAGCAGGTTTTGTAAGAATGATCCTGTAGGTAACATTTAGTCTGGTCTTCATTGTGTTCACTATAAACGAGAACTCAAGTACCCACGCTTGCATCCCAAACTGAGGCGAAGGCAAAAGGAAGGCCCGCCTCTAAAGCTCACTCCTGCTCAGTGACTGCCCAACATGAATCGGTCCAAGGGGGAGTGAGGCCACTTGTTTGCTTCTGTCCAAGTCACCAAAGTGTATAGAGGGCAAGAGAGCGCCTCTAGGCTTCACCCACAACAAGAGCCCTTTCTAGAACACTGCCCTACCTCAAACACCTGCAGGTTGCCCCAACCAGAATTTAAACTATTTGTGAAACATAAACTACTAGTCATGTATTCTAAATGCTTATGTTCAAGGCTACCATTTAAAAAATAAACTGAGGAGGGTAACCTTAGATACATTCTGCTATCACACTACCACAGACATTATAAGTGTGTGTACATATGTAAAGGAGATAGCCAAGATTTAAACAGAATGGTAAAAAGCCAGGAAATACAGATTTCCCCCACAAAAGAACAATATCGCCCACCCCAAGCTACACCTATAAACAACTTCACTAATTTGCCTACATTTCAACAAAACCAATCACCTAAAAAAAAAAGAAAGAAAAAGAAAAACCAACCAGCACCCACAAAAAAAACCACTCAAACCTAGCCTAGAGTATGTGGCAATAATTAATATATGTCTATGGAAACTGTCTCATGCCTTATAAGCTTCTAAAATAAAATCCAGGTCACCACGTGACTAATGGTGTCACCAGAAGAAACAAAAAGCCCAGCAGTCTTCGAGCCCTCCTGATCAGCACTGAGTACTTTTGTACATAGGATGCCGTGCTTTTTGGCTTGTTGGACCAGAGGGCCAAAGGCAACTGAAGAAACCAGCTCTTGAACAAACACTCTGACATGAAGCATTTGAGTTCCCAGTCCGAATGTCCAGTTGAAATGATGGGTGAAGACACCACTGGCCAAAAGGAAGACCATCCATCATCCAAACAGGGTATTCGCCAGCAACCCCGAAGAACAGTAGTTACCATAGCAAGAGAAACCAAAGGGTTTGCTGTTTTGTGGTTTTGACTCTTTAGGGTCGGCTGTGAAGAGGTCAGCAACATGAACAGCAGCGATGGGCGGAGGAAAGCAGAACAGCGGATGAAGATCCCTGCTGGGCATCTGTTCATCTGTTTCCTGTATCAGCCAGAGACTTGCCCACTGGCTTATCTGAATTTCAGGGATGCACATCTTCGGCTCCGTGGACCCTTCACAGACTGGGAGGCTCTATAACCATGTAAGAAAGCTTTCTTTGTCTAGCTTGGTGGCGGCCAACACAGACTCCATGTCATTGAGGATGTCGGAACTCAGTGCTTCCTGCAGGCTGGGCATCAGCTCCTCCCCTTCTATGTTCATCGCGTCTCCTTCCAGTGTTCCAAGGTCCACATTTGTCCCAGGGATGGCTTCAAGGTAGTCTGGGAAACGACTCTGCTGTGAAGGCAGGGTGCTTTGGTTGATAGTGTCACCTAGTTTGGGGGGAGATAAACAGCGTTTTGTGAAGAGCACCAGAGTTGTCCTGCATGAGCAAAGAAGCACCCAGAATCTACCTTAGAAAACCACACACAGATCACAAGGTAACACCAAGTTTGCCCGGGCCTCACCACCTCACAGACATGCAATGTACAGCTTAGCTGCTCATTACAAAGAGGAACAGCCACTGATGGGGGCCTGAAGAACTGAAACTTCCTTGGAAAGCTAAATGCAGCGCCTTCTTTCTCTCTCCCAGAAAGGAGCCACCATTCCTAAGAAGATCAAGACGGAGGGTCTTTCCTCTCAGATGCACTCCAGGACACTAACATAAAAGCATGTAGACATGGTGCTCTACTCTTGAGTCACACAATAGCACGAGTCTTTGAGGATATGTGACCTCCCCAGACTCAGTTCTAAGTTCTCAGACTACCTGCCCACAGGCCTTCATGTATCTGTGACATTAGCTCCCCTTGGAGCTTCATCAGAACTTACGTTCAGGAAAACAAACGCCGTTTTTTTTTTTTTTAATTTTTTTTATATTTATTTATTAAGATTTATTTATTATGCATACAGTGCTCTGCCCACATGTATCCTTGCAGGCCGGAAGAGGGCACCAGATCTCATTATAGATGGTTGTGAGCCACCATGTGGTTGCTGGGAATTGAACTCAGGACCTCTGGAAGAACAGCCAGTGCTCTTAACCTCTGAGCCATCTCTCCAGCCCCACAAACGCCGTTTTTAAGGGGCTAAAAAGGAGACGTGAGGGTGAAAAGAGCCAAGACGGGGCAAGGCATGAGGTGGACTCAAGTGGTTCCTGAAGGGGATTTCAGATGTAGGTGGACCCAGGGGAAGCAGGGAACCAAAAGTTATCAAAATTCCACCTTCCTGCCTCAGATAAAAGCAGCCATGAAAGACTTCCTGGACACTTCACACTCCCAGCTAGCGCTCCTCACCCCTCCAAGGCAGAGAGAGGTCTTAGCTCTTCAATACCTCCACAACTATTTCAATAATAAAACCAATGGGTTTTACCCTAAACTCTCCCACATCTGGCTTCCTAGACTTGTAAAACCTTAACCACATCAGCTGAACCAAAAATATCTAGAAAAAAGAGATAAGACAATGAATCATATAATAAAAAAATTATCCAAAATTTAGAACACAAACCTAAAATGAGAGACTTCTAACAGGCCCCCCAACTCACATGTTAACAAAACAGACAGCAAAAGATGGTGTGTGCCTGAAATCTCAGCATTCTGGAGGCAGAGCTGGAGGGTCACAAGGCCAGCATGGGCTACACAGCAAGACCTTATCTCAAAAAGAAAGAAAAAAACCAACCCATGTTTTTTAAGGTTCATGACTTAATCCCAGCACCCCAGGCAGGGCCTCTGTGAGTCCCAGGCTACACAGTGCAACCCTGTCAAGGAAGAAAGGAAGGAAGGAAGGAGGGAAGGAAGGAGGGAGGGAGGAAAAACAAGACACAAGTTCTTATCTTTGCTCAAAGTAGTTCACTAGAGCCAGTGACCACCGTAACTAAAAGTGAATACTTGCCTGTATCCATTTCATCAACACTGTTCAGGAAGTCATCTGGGGTCCGAGGGACACTGTAGCTGCTCATGCTGAGGCCACTGTCCGTGCTCTCATCTCTAGAGTGATAGGTGCCACTATGAAAACATTGACAAAGACCGGCAGAAAAAATTTTCATCAATCCAGGGAAAATAAACGTGAATTACACATGACCATGATTCTCAAGAGGACCAGGGAATGATGCCTGTACTGCAGTGCCTCTTCAGAGCCCGACAGCCCCCGTCCTACAACAGGACAGACACACTGACTCTGACTAAAGGGACAGCTATTAAGGGCTGAGAGATATCCTAAGGTTCTGAGCTTGGTTACAACCTCAAGAAAAAGTGACAAGTTCCATTAACTATCTTGAAGCTTGGGGGTTCCAAGGCCCCGAGTCCCCAGAGAGAGGTCAAAACCTACACTCCAGGTGGGCAAGCCTGCATGTTGAATTCCCAGCTAGAGGCAGAAAACTCTAGCCAATGAAGAACCAGAATGCTTTTTTTTTTTTTGGTTTTTCGAGACAGGGTTTCTCTGTGTATCTTTGCGCCTTTCCTGGGACTCACTTGGTAGCCCAGGCTGGCCTCGAACTCACAGAGATCCGCCTGGCTCTGCCTCCCGAGTGCTGGGATTAAAGGCGTGCGCCACCACCGCCCGGCCAGAATGCTTTTTTGCCAAGACAGATGAGTCACCGAAGATAAGAGTTCCCACAGCCAGAGCTTCTTGCTTCTGGTGGGGGAGGGGAGCACCCAGACACTTCAGTACCAGATAAGAGGCCCAGCTTCAGAAGTGAAAGATCAACAAAGCAAAGGGACTTCAAGAGAAACAGGCGCCAACAGTATTTTTACTTAAGGCTGAATGGAAAGTCTCAGACTGCACTCATGAACAACAGAAAACAGCCTTGAAAATTCCTCAACAGGGGGCTGGAGTGATGGCTCAGTGGTTAAGAGCACCAACTGCTCTACCAGAGGATCCCGGTTCAATTCCCAGCACCCACATGGCAGCTAACAACTGTCTGTAACTCTAAGATCTAACACCCTCACACAGACATACACACATACACTAGTGCACATAAAATAAAGATAAATAGTTGAAAAAAAAAAAAAAACTTCCTAAACAGAACACTTTCCTAAGTGATGGCGGAAGAGTGGCTGGTATCAACTGGAAACCCCGAGGGCAGCCGCTATTCCTCCTGGTTTTTTCAGACCACAAATGTAGATGACTCTCCTCACATGATGGACACTTAAAGTGTTTGGTTGTTTAAATAAAACAAAACAAACAACCAGACTCCACCTGGGCATTAAAAAAAGAAAAAAGAAAAAAAGCTATATTCCAACCTTCCTTCCTGACTGTTCAATGCATTTGCCTCGTCCTTTCCCTGGAGCTGACAAACATCGGTTTATGTCTCACATAAATCCAAAAAATGCACAAACTTGCCTCTGAGACTGTTGGCCTACACACAGCCATGTGGATCAGCCCAGGATGCCTGTTAGCTTCACTCTGAATGTTGGGATGCTGTCCCCACAGGGACACCCATCAGACAACTGAGTCTGTAAGGAGGAGGTGGCCTCACAGACTCGGAAGCCACAAGGGAAGTCCACTGGGATCTGGGGAGAGCTCATACTGTTTTCTTGGGTACAATTGCTCTCTATCAAACCCCAGTTTACGCTGAGTGCGCCTAGGACAACCCAACAGGCATGAGAGCAGCTCAGGGGACAGAAGTGAAGACAGTGTAGAAAAGAACACGTAATTTTCATTGATTAGGGGGGTTGGTTACAAGTTGTTGTCAAGGGTTAGGAAAAAGGCTAAGCAAAGGAGATTAGATTTAAGGTTCTTGTTTAAAAAAAAAAAGAGAGAAAGAAAGAAGAAGAAAAAGACAATTACTAGTTTTAAATACTTTACATTGGATTGGATTGTTTTATATTGTATACAAATTATATATATTGAAATTGATATTGTTAGAAAATGCTTTATGTATATTTCTAATTGTACCGTTCATTTAACAATGTAATGCAATTTTCTGATCCTTGAATGTTATTATTACCAACTATTAGGATATAAAGAAATGAAAGTTAGTAGTTAGACATTACAATAGAACTTGTAGTCATATTAGATGTTTTAAAAATTGAGCAGATATATTTTAGACAGGTCATCTTCAAACCCTTCAGAGATCTGCAGAATATGGCATTTAAAATGTTTTAATAACTTAGAAAATTTTTCTTTTTTGTTATGACTATGAGACATGTTGGCTCCTGGCAGTACCAATCTACTTCAGGGAAAATATGGGCATTGAAGAAACTGCATATGGAGTTAACTTTCATTGTGGCAAAAGTTAGCCACTGGACAACAAAGTATCCTCGAATCAACTGCTGACAAAATGGACAGACAGGACATGAAACAAAGGACTACTGATTCTTGCCAAAACAAGTGTGGTTATGGCTTTATCAAAAGGCATCTTCTGAGGCCAGGACAATATGGCACCATCCCTGAAGTGGCCTTCGCAATTCGGAAAAGGTACAGTGCCCTTTTCTTCAAAGGCAGCTGAACAGGCAGTGGGCCGATGGCCTCTGATGTGCAATGGAACAGCAGCTGAAACAGTTATTCTTGAAGAGTAACTAAGCTCACGCCTCTCAATAGTAGACTGGCATTTGATAGAGGGATGTGGAGAAGAACGGGATGCTGAGATGAAGCCATATATACACAGCCAAGAAGAATGGACAGTTGAATTAAAAAACCATCAACGGCCGGGCGGTGGTGGCGCACGCCTTTAATCCCAGCACTCGGAAGGCAGAGCCAGGCGGATCTCTGTGAGTTCGAGGCCAGCCTGGGCTACCAAGTGAGTCCCAGGAAAGGCGCAAAGATACACAGAGAAACCCTGTCTCGAAAAACCAAAAAAAAAAACAAAACAAAACAAAACAAAAAACAAACAAACAAACAAACAAAAAAAAAAACAACCATCAACAATTTCCAGAATTTAAAATCCTGAATCATGACATGACACTAGTGGAATTCAGGTGTTTCTGGTACATGGACTGCTCTCACCCAATGTGAGGTTGAACTGTTGACCTTGTGTACATCCTACTTCACAAATGAGTCTGTCAAATACGCTAAGCCTATAGGCTGAAGATGATGCCCCAACACTGTGGAGAAACCTCAGATGATTGTCCAGGCAGCTGGCTGTTTCTGTCAACTCACAATTTTTTGGAAGTTGCTTGCATGCACTTCCTGTTTTTATTTTTGTTAGCTAATATTATTTCCTTCTTGGGTCTCTGAGGGAGTTGAAGATTAGTTAGTTATAGTTGAAGATTAATTAGGATAGAAAGTGAATTAGATACAATAGAATAGATAATGGAATTATTTTCTCTGAATTTGTCAAATACAAATGACCTTATATTGTATATAGTTATTGTACTTTTGTATATAGTTTTTCTTATGTTAGTTATAAGCTTTTTCTTTTTTTTTATTAAAATAGAAAAGGGGAAATATGGTGATATTTTATTTGTATTAAAATGTTATTTTTATGTTAATAAATAAAGTTGCCTGGGGGTCAGAGCTATTAGCAAGCCATAGGAAACCAGGGCAGTGGTGGTGTACTCTTGTAATCCCAGCACTTGGTAGGCAGAGCTGGGTAAGTCTCTGTGTGTTCAGGGATACAAGCCATTATTGGATACACATGCCTTTAATCAATACCAATCATGGAAAACCTGGAGGCCTATACAGACAGGCCGTGAGGAGGCGGTCATGTGGTTGGGTTTACAACCAATGAGAAGGCAGAACAGGAACTCTATATAGAGACTTTAACACAGGGGTAGCTCTGGTTCGGAGAGGTAGGACCACCGCAGGAGGAAGGGTAAGGTTTTAGCTCATAGCTCTGACCTCTTGGCTTTCTTCTTTGCATTGGTTCTGTGTTTCTTATTTAATAAGAAGGTTGGTTACATCTACACTCCACGGAACCACGCCCCTGATCTGCAGCGGCAGCAGAGTGAGGACTTTGAGGACAAAGGAAGGAGCCTGGAAAGTCACGAGCAAAGCTGCACAAGGGGGCACATCTGAGACAGGTGGGATGTGCACCGCAGGGCAGTGCTGAATTTAAGGTGTAGATATGATTCCTTAGCAAGCAGCACAGAAGACATCAACAGTCTTTTTAAAGGAAGAAAACTGCCATCCAGGTGCAGTTTGGAATCTGGGTACCGATTCTGGGACCTCAGCCTTTAGGAGGCTGAAATGAGGACTTAACTCTGTGGTTGGGGGCCAAGGCTTTGCTTGAAACAGAAAAGCCAAGAGCACAGCAAGTGTGAACACCATGAGGAAACAGAAGGCTGTACCAGGAAGGTCTGCACTGATCTCACAGGCTGAAGACTGTCATAAATAACTGTCAGGAAGATGTGCAGCCCATCCCTCCCCCTGCTGCTGAGAAGTTTGATTTTATCCTCAGATAAGCCTTCAACAAAACAGGTACTGGAACCTTTCTCCTGGGAGATTCTGTGGTGGGGCCTCTGCTCATTATCTCCAGCTTCAGTTTAGAAGCACAAGCTTATGTAAATGTACTTGACTGTAGACCAAAATTTAAATTCTGTGTAAGACCTAAGAATGCCTTTTACTGTTTTCAGACAGGGTCTCAACCATCCAGCAGGTTGGCCTGGAACGCGTCACTCAGCAGCTGAACTCAACTCCTGTGCCAGCCCCCCAAGTGCTGGAACCACAGTGAACAGCGCTCCAGGTCAGATATATGTATCCTTTCACGGCTTTGAAAACCCACCGGGCCAACCCTAGAGTTTACTTTCTTTTGACAAGATGATTTCACTGTGTAGCCCTGGCTGTCCTCAAATCCACAGGCATCAACCCCCTGCCTCTGGCTCGAGTGCCGGAAGTGAAGGTGTGGTGGCACAAGTTTACTCCAAGACTTTGAGGATGACGGAAAATCCAGTTGTTCAAAAACATTTCAACAAGATAAAAATACTTTTTGCCAAAATTAATTTTTTTTTCAATTTAACTTGTGAGAATTGAAAATAGTTTTCCTAAACCTTTTTGTTTTGTTTTTTTTTTGTTCTTGTTCTTTGTTTTCTTTGAACAGGGTTTCTCTGTGTAGCCCTGGCTTTCCTGGAACTAGCTCTGTATACCAGGCTGGCCGCAGATTCAGAGATCTGCCTGCTTCTGCTGGGACTGAAAGCATGCGCCACCATTGCCAGGCTTCCTGTACGGTGCAAGCTGGGCATGATGGCTCAACCTCGTAATCCTAGCACCTTGAAAGGCTGAGGTAGGAGGACCACCGATCATTTGAGTCCAGCGTGGGCTACAAAGAGAGACTGTGACTCAAAACAGAAGAGGAGGAAAGAGGGGAAGGAAAAAGTACATTGCTTCAAAGCACTTTGGGGAGGAGGGAGTCTAGCCCAGAGCGTTCTAATCTTTTTCAAAAGCAAAATTAACACAGCAGTGTAGTTTTAGTTAAATATTAATTATAGATGGTTTTCAAAGCATAAAAAACAGATGGCCAACCAGTGGCAGTTCTCAATGCAGTAGAGTGAACGTCGTCCACTCGAAACCCGGGGCAGTGCACTCATTACAGTGCACCTGTAACGCACTGTCTAGAATAACGCCACCAACATTTGCAGTTCTGGGTGGGACACAGCCTTACATTGTATCTCCTTATACGAGAGTCTTAAAGAATACGAGGCCTTCCATGAATATGTGGAAAGTTCCAGCCACTGATCCTTCACTAACATGCTCAGGGGTTAAGATGCTGTCGCTCACTTTCACAGGAAGACATTCACATGTTTCTTCAAGACTGCCATTTTAAGCAACATTAGCACAGAGTATAGGCAGAAGCAAGCATGTTGGAGCATTGACCCAGATCCCTTCCACAAGCTTCAACAACTCACCTTCTCGTACGGGATGCAGCTTTTTTAATCCCCAGCTTTGACTGCACTTGGCATTACAAAGCAGCCTCAACAAACACAATGAGCACTAACCTGTTAAGGAAGGGATCTGAACTATTGGTTGTCATTGTTCTCAATTCCTGAGACATCCCAGGAGAAGACACGGCATTCTGAGTTCCTCCATCCTGCTCCAGTGTGGGCAACTGGCTTCGGAGAGCTAATTCCTTAAACAAACAAACAAATGTAGAGAGAATCACTCTGCTGATTAACAAATTCACTGCTAGATTTAAAAGAGATAAAGTGCCACATAAGAGGGGTAGATACAAACAAAAAAGGGGTAAAATATTAACGTTTTTTCTTAAAGCTAACATGTTTCCTAATTAGAATAACCAAATTCTTCTACACACTTCAAATGACCGAAGGAACTAAGCTGGAGACACGATGTCAGTTTGCCTAGTTGTACTAACCCCCAAACACGCACAATCAACTCTTCCATTTCACTTTTCTGTTCTTTATTCGCAAAGACCCCCAAATCCTCCCTTGGGACATAATGGCAAGTCCTCACTTTAGACAATAATTCTTAGACTTTGTCATTACTTACCAGCTCTCAATGGTTTGGGGCCAGCAATAAAAACAGAACAGAAAGAACATTTGTTGACTTGTTGCCAGACACCAACCCTCCCCTCAGCCCCAGCACTGTGTGCACTCTGCTAACAAGCCTCACTGACTTCAGGGACATCCCCCCTTGAGCTGGACAGAGCTGAAAGGAGACTTTGGGGAGACATTTCTTCAGGGCTCCAACAGAACTCAGTAGAATCCTACCTGGACATCTGGCACAGGCTGAAGGCCCTGGAGATGCTTCAGAAATTTCAGGCCAGGGTCTCTCACCAGTCAACGCCTTCACTACTCTGCCCTACGACTTATGGCTGTGTCTCCTGAGCACACACCACCCTGCACAGGCTCCTCTCAGCCCACTTGTTAACTGACTTCTCTAAGTCACAAAGCATACTGCCAAGCCTCTCTGCAGTTTCCAAGAGCCAAGGCTGCTTCTGAGGCACATCCCCCTACGGCCCCTCCACCCACATTACCACCGCAGGGCGCAGGGCTGGAGAAACCTCTAAGACCTCCACAGCCACTTCTGATCTCCCCTCTCTGTAAACCCCACTCTTTTACCAGATTTATTTATACCCTTTGGTCATTCCATCCTGTAAACTGCAGCTCCTTAACCAGAGGTGCCTGAGTATTCAGGTTTTTGAACTTGCATGGAGATGTGGGAGGGAAAGATCACCTTAAATCTTTGGTAAATTTGAATGCAAATTTTACATTTTCTTCAATTATGAATGGACAGTAACAGTATTCATTGTAGTTCTGATTTTTCATCAGTATTTCCACAGCTTATAACTCAGATACCTCCATAACACATTATTGCTTCAAATCTTAAAGTACCATTTATTATGAAAAGCTGTGCAATAAATTCTCATTTATTAATTTGATAGGCATTATTAATAAAACTTTCCTTAAACACCAGGAAAATGCAGACCAAAACTAGTTCAAGTGACTATCAAGAAAACAAATGCTGATGTAGGAAGAATGGAAACCTTATGTCCTGCTGGGGAGCATGTAATTTAGTTCAGCCATAGTGGAAATCAGCACAGACAGATGCCAGAAACAGAAGGACCAACAGACCAGCTGCACCACTCCTGGGGAAACACCAGAGGGAACTGACTTCCTAGAGACACTTGCACATCCATGTTTGTGCCAAGATTCTGAGGCAGAAGTGGAGACCCAGTAACAGATGCATGGATAAAGAAAATGTGATATACATGCACAATGGCCTTTACTCAGCCACAAAGAACTGAACTATGCCATGAAGGAAGACACACGGAAATGGAGGTCAACACAGTGTGTAAAACAAGTTAGACTCAGAAAAACCGGCATCGTATGGTTTCTCCTGTTGAAAAATCTCATTAAAAAAAAAGAAGTATGCACACTCATATCCACAAAGGCATAGGACTGAAAGGCAGGCTGTTTGGAGGAGACCAATGAGGAGAAAGAGAAAATGTGTGTGTGGGTAAATATGAGGAAAGCATACACGATACACATGTATGAAAATGTCATAATGAAGCCCACTGTTTCATGCTAGACATTTTATCCTTCCTGTTAATTTATTTTTATTACATTTATTTGGTGAGAAGTGACTCTAATGATGATGGTGCACTCCTGTGGTTTCTCAAAACTGTTTTTTCCATGGGAGGCCTCAAGCTAAGCCCTGTTCTTGGGTGACCTCTTCTGAATATTCAGCCCTTCATACTCCAGACTCTTCCTACTCTGGTCTCTCTTGGCTGCTTCTTTTGTCCTCTCTACAAGCCTGAACTCGTGACTAATTAATGAAATCTACACAAGGACCTTTCAGGTTCTGACACAGTTTTATCTCCATTCAGGGATCTCAATCTGGAGCTGGGTGCCTGGCACTCAAGTGAGTCCAACTCGTAAGCTGAGATTGCTGGAAAGTGCCAGGGCTGGGACTATCCATAATGGAATCATTACAAGTGAAAGGTCTTCGGCTTTCTCTGGGCCCTGTGCCTATGTAGGTAGTGTGTGTGTGTCTGTCTGTCTGTCTGTCTTCCATATGCAGTGTCTGCATATTCTTTAGTGGGTCAAGCACATGTCCACTCCTTTCCCATTTCAAGAAGATGGAGACCACCAGGGCCAGCCTTGGATCTTGACTGTTCTTAAATCTTGCCATCTCTTCCTGTTCTACAGTTATTAACAACTCAGTTTCTCCTCCTATCAGCAGATGCTGCAGACCCAGCTCTCCAGACTCACTGAAAAAGGCAACTGAGGGATGTGAAGGCAGCCATTCATTCCTAGTTAACCAAGGAACCCAACCTCAGAAGGGTACCTGAGCCATAACCAAAAACTCAGCTAAACTGACCTTGAGAAGATCAATGAAAACAGATGGCTGTACTGTGGGTGATGGGGTTGGCATCAGTTTTGCATGAAACCAGAACCAAAAACACTGGAAGCACACACACAGATTACAGACATTATACTCAAGGCAAGAATATTTATTTGGCTGAATTCTGAAACAGAACTGATTAGATACCCTACGTAGTTTTGACAGAGATTCACACACTGCAGGTCAATGCCTTCTAACTGTGTGCTGCACAGTTCTGTAACTCAGTTTTCTCCTACTGCCAATGCCGCTCTCTCTCACTCCTGCCCTCAGAGAACCAGGGTCTGCATTTCCTGCCATTCCCAGTTAGTGTTTACATCAAGTTTTGTGTGAACGGACCCACATAGTATGTACTCTATACACACACACATACACACACCCTACCGACCTAGACTTAAGCCAGGTGAGGTGATGGCGCACACTCATAATTTCAGCACCTGGAAGGCTGTGGCAGAAGGATTCCCAGCTCTAAAACCAGCTTGGGCTATAAGACCCCTGTCCCGAAAACAACCCGAGAACTAGTCTAAACCCCCACCCCCATTTCTGACCATTACTACTGTGTTTATCTTTAATTTTTAAAAGATGACATCATTATTTAACATGGAGCCTTCCTTTTTTCTGAGTAGTACTGAGGATCAAATTCAGCACCTCACACTTGCTGGGCAAATACTGTAGGAGACAGTGTTATTGAACCCTGGTAGGAAATGCAAGTCCATCTCAGAGTGTGGCAAGCCCTTCCTTACCAACCATTGAGGAAAGCCCCAGACCAGGCTGGGACCACTGACTTTACTCACAGTGCAGAGCCAGCTCTAAACATGTCCCAGATTAGCTGAGATTTACAGGCTCACTGGGAAAAGCTACTGCATGTTTGAATTATTACAGAAGAAAACGCACTAAAAATACTTACTTGACTTAGAAAAAGTCAAATACTCTAGAAGAACTATTTGACCTTTGACATAGAACAAAAGCCTGACTAGGCTCTGGCCAAACTTCTGACTTGCTTACTTCCCCATTTTTGAAAGACTTTCACAAACTTTTCCAACTACCTTTGGGAAAAGAGAAGTTTAACAAACTCATATTTTTAGCACAGCAGTCTAATTTTAGGCATTGTGTTCAAGATGAACTAATCCCCAAGCTCCTCAGAGATAGAAGCAACTTGCAACATCAAATGCTTTGGTGAAATCACTCTTGTAGGCTATCCAATTATGTCCCAGGCTTAAGTTATAACAGCTCCACCACACTGACCCAGTTAAAGAATAATGGATGTACTTTCAGTAAGAGTGTTTGCTCCTGTGCTGAGGACTGACCTAGTGAGAGGCAAGAACTCTACCATGAAAGCCACATTCCCAGCCACCATGTGTTTTGACAGGATAGCGCGTACAAGGGATCCTTTGAAAAATCAGTTCACTTTGATGGTCATCCTCCTTCAATATTTGACTAGGTAAAGCATGAAGAAGGACACAGTCCCAAACTTCATCTCGTTCTGAGAGCTGCCTTAAGTCTTCACAAAATCGCTTTGACAATGTGCAGAATGCTTGTTTATTAAGCGTGGCTGTCATGTGCCATTTACCTCAGTACTTTCAGGTTTGGCTACTAAAATCACATACACGTAGATTAAGGAACAGTTAGGAAAACTGAAGCAAACCTTGGTTTTGAAAAGCAGCATCTAAAACAGTGGGGGTGGACACACGTGATTGTGTGTAAACGTGCCCAGGTGGGTCTCTATAGGAAGAGAGGTTGCTGTTTATAGACAATGCCCAAGGTATGTGATTAAAAAAAGGCGGAGGGGAAGCCACGTATGTTTCAGTCTGTAATCAGTAGTAGGGTGGCTGAGGCAGGAGGATTGCTTCTAGTTCAAGGCCAGGCCACGTCACAGAAAACAAAATAGAACAGAAGTTAGATCATGGGCAAAGTGATGCCTCCCCTCTCCCCCTCATCGTTTACTCAGGAAAAATTCACATTTATGTGGAAATATTTACATGGACTGTTCACTTCTCTAGCTTTTGACAACTCTTGATGTCAATAACAGTTTAACTTTATTGAACTCAACGCATCATATCATATATGCTGCATATGAAAATACTAAGATTAGCCATCTGAGGAGGAGGCAGTCAAGTCAACCTATACTTTCTTAAATCAACTGTTGTCTTTGGCAGTACTGGGCTAGGCTGCAAACATCTGCCTCTGGATACTACATGGCACTCGAGTGGGCAAGCTGGCAATGTCTGCCTAGGAGGGACACATTTGTGAACTAGAAGTCTGAATGTA